TGTGACGCAGCCGCAGTCGCCTAGGGCCCAGTTCTGATTCACACCTGACGCCCCCGGGGCCTGACCATGCGTCTCCACTTCTGAAGAGAGGGGGCTACTCTTCCACCCGGACTCGGAGGCCGCCATCAACCGCCAGATCAACCTCGAGCTCTATGCGTCCTACGTGTACTTGTCCATGGCCTATTACTTCTCCAGGGACGACGTGGCCTTGAACAACTTCGCTCGGTATTTCCTTCGCCTGTCCCGGGAGGAGACCCAGCACGCAGAGACGCTGATGAGGCTGCAGAACCAGCGGGGAGGCAGGATCTGCCCTCGGAGGCCGCCATCAACCGCCAGATCAACCTCGAGCTCTATGCGTCCTACGTGTACTTGTCCATGGCCTATTACTTCTCCAGGGACGACGTGGCCTTGAACAACTTCGCTCGGTATTTCCTTCGCCTGTCCCGGGAGGAGACCCAGCACGCAGAGACGCTGATGAGGCTGCAGAACCAGCGGGGAGGCAGGATCTGCCTGCAGGACATCAAGAAACCAGACAGGGACGACTGGCAGAGCGGGCTGAACGCCATGGAGTGTGCTCTGCTCTTGGAGAAGAATGTGAACCAGTCCTTGCTGGAATTGCACTCTCTGGCCTCAGCTAAAGGTGACCCCCATTTGTGCGACGTCCTGGAAACTCACTATCTAAATGATCAGGTGAAGTCTATCAAAGAACTAGGTGACCACGTGCACACCTTGATTACGATGGGGGCCCCAGATTGTGGCCTGGCGGAGTACCTTTTTGACAAACATACCCTTGGAAATGAAAACAATCAGAACTAAGCCACAGGCTGCCTTCCCCACCACCAGGGTGTGCCAGGACCCAGAATCAACTGTCTCCTGCTTTCTTGCTCTTAAAAGGCACTTCCACCTTTATATTCCTGTTATACTGTTCCTCTAGTAAAGTGATTTGCAGAGAAAATGAAGTTAGCCCATATTAACAAGGCTTTTTGCCCAGCAATTTTCCCAGCCGGAAAGGAAGCCCAGGATACTATGGTATAAAAAAAGACTGCAAAAAAGCAACTAAAAGTAGATGTAAAAATTAAATTTCTTCAATTACCAAATATATTCCAGACCATGGATCCTCACTAAACGTCGGTGATTTTCAACTCAACAAGCGCCTGTTATTTTCAAGACTTTATGCCAAAGCTAAAGTGGGAAAATGTGTAAGATAAATATACCAATAGCTATAACAAGATGAAGAATGCATATAGTACTGTCAAAATCAGACATGCAAAATTCTATGACGTTTACTCTTTTCCAAAGTGTGTTCTGAGAAACAGTAATGTCTGGAGATGATCTGTTTTTTAAAGAGATTTTTTGATCAAATAAATTTAAGACAAGCTACATAAGGTATCAGTACTGGCCTTGGAAAGTCACAGTGTAAGCATTTTAAGGGCTCTGGGAAGTTTTGCAATTAAAAACAAAACAAAGCAAAAAAAAAGTATTTTGGTTATTTTTGTTTAGCTCAATGTTTCCCAAAGATATCTGATCTCAGCTAGTTTTGTTTGTTTGTTTTACTTTTTTTTTTTTATGGTAATACTAGAGGCTGGTGCATGAATTCATGCACAGGTCCCTCAGCCTAGCAGGCGATCGGGGTGATCAGGGCCGTCTTCCCCAGTCCCAATCAGGGCTGATCCCGGGGGAGGTTGGCTGGCCCAGGCCACAGGAGATTGGGAGTGCACTGACCACCCAGCTGGCTGGGGTGGGGGGAGGGACCGCAGGAGGTTGGCTGTGGGAGCACACTGACCACCAGAGAGCAGCAGCTGCATTGAGCATCTGCTCCCTGGTGGTCAGTGTGCATCATAGAGACTGGTCAACCATTCGCTTAGGCTTTTATATATCTAGATATCTAGATCTGATTTCAGACTATGCATTTCACCACTGAGCCATATAGCCTTCCTTTTAACATCCCCAAAAGAGCAACTACACTGCAGAAAACACCCTTCTATGGCCTTTTAAATGGAAAGGAAAAAAAACCATCATAGGGTAGAAAAGTCAAGAAGGGGTCCAGAATGAAGGATGCATCTGCTGGGTAGATGTTTTCTTGGGAGCATGGGAAGAGGAGGTATGATAAAAGGAGTAGGAGAATATTCGGTTAGGAGACCTGAGACTAGACTAAGAGCATTGGATGATGTTTGGAAAATGGGCTGGAGTGAAGTGTGGATGTGAGAAGGAGGGGTTAGGCTTAATGAGCACTGGCAGTGATTTGAAGGGCTTTAAGTAGAAGAATGCTGTGCTCTAAGAGTTGAGCAATCAGAAGTGTAGTTGTACAGAATAAAAATCTGTGGACAACCTCAAAGTCTGTGTTAGTTTGGGTCCTCCAAGAAACAGATGTCAAGAAGGGATAAGGGTTCAAGAAATATATTAGGGAAAATGGAAAGGCCCTTGAGAGAAAATGGAAAAAGAGCTGGAAGCAGCAGGGAGAGTCTTCAGACTCCATGCGAGTCTGATCATGAGAGAAGGAAGAAAGGAAAAGTTGTGCATTGGTCTAAGGCAGCAGTTCTCAACCTGTGGGTTGCAACCCCTTTGGCGGTCGAACAACCCTTTCACAGGGGTCGCCTAAGACCATCCTGAATATCAGATATTTACATCATGATTCATAACAGTAGCAACATTACAGTTATGAAGTAGCAACGAAAATAATTTTATGGTTGGGTCACAACATGAGGAACTGTATTTAAAGGGCCAGAAGGTTGAGAACCACTGGTCTAAGGGAAGTTCTGCAAGTCTGCAAGGGTGTCTGGGAGACCTCCACACAAAGTTGCTCATCAGAGGAATCCCAAATGTCCAAGAAATGGGCCTGGTTAAGCATATTTCCAGGGCTCAGTTATTCACTGGGAATGATCCATACAAAGTGCAACTTTTCAACAAACTGAGGGACAAATTGCTTTTAGAGCACGGCAGCTGGCAAACTGTGCTCCCTGTAGTCCCAGATCTAAGAGGCACATTCACATGACTGCACAAACTCAACAACATGATTTAGATTCAAGTACTATACATGGAACACTCTGCAGAAATTAAATACGATTTTGTCAAACAAATAATGATGTGGCCAGAAATTCCTCACTCAGTGATGAGAGAGTGTAAAATTCCGTGATTACTTCCACATTCTCAGTTAAATAAAAGTATTATCAGCTGACAGTAAGAGGGAGAAGAGATTAGGAGATTTGAGATGAAGATATATAAAATAATTATTCAGGATAATGGTTATTGAATGTTTTTTTACAGCAACATAGAATAAGAACTATCACTATCCAGGATGTAAATATAAGAACACACACACACACACACACACACACCAAGAATTTCAGGAGACAATACTCTGACTTCACTTACTTTCACTTCAATTCTATTTTATTAACAAAAGGTGGATAGTGACTTGCTAAATTCCATGACACACTGATGGGCTGCTTGAAAAACACTCATCCAGAAGAATTAAAGAGGACATTTTCTGAAGAAATGTAATAGGATTCCTGGGCAACAAATGAAGCCAACTTTAGGAATGTACAATGAGATTGATCTGCATAATTAAAAGCAAATCATTTTGCATTCTCACTTCCTTCAGATTCCTGCTCAAGTGGCATTTTATAGAGACTTTACTGATTATGCAACCTAAACGAGTCAGCACATTTCCCATCACTATCTAGCCTCTTACTTGATTTGGTTTTCTCTACAGCACTTACCTTTATCTGACACCTTTTTAAAAATTTGTTTATACTTCCTTCTTTCCTAGAATGTAAGCTCTGTAGAACAGGGCCTTTGTTTTGTTCATTGCTATCTCTACAGCTCTAGAGCAGTACTTACATTTTATTAGGTTCTCAATGAATGTAAGTGAACCAGTGAGTGAGTAAGTGAGTGAAGATATCCAGAAACCAGTTGGAAGTGCTGGTCAGCATCTCTGAATAAGTTAGTATCAGACAAGTGAATCTGGTAGTTAATCATATAAAGTTGATAAGTAAAACTGTGAAGAGGTTGCACTAACAGAGAATAGAGGAGAGAGGGGACACAGAGAGGATTCTAAATATAGAAATGTGGAAAATTGAAGGAGCTCTGTATTTAGGGCAGGTTAGATAAAGAATCCTTGACAGGATACAGAATAACAAAATAGCAAGACCAGGAAAACAACACTGATCTTAGAAGTCATGAGAGGAAAGAGCTTCCATCAGATGCTGAAGAACTTAGTGAGGTTATGCCACCAGAGTTGGCATCAGGACACCAATGGTTATTTCAGAATAGTGGCTTTAGGAGTGGTAAATAGAAGGCCATAGTCATAGGGTTAAGGTAAGTGAGGTGGAGAATATAGCATTCTCTTTTGAAAAGATTTTATTTTTTAAGTAATTGAAGATGTAAAAAGGATAGAGGATAGCCGTGCGTGTTGGTAGGACAAGGAAAGATGATATAAAAGAGTGATTTGAGAAGTGATAGAAATGTTAGCATCGTAACTAGCTAGCTAATAATATAGGAAGAAAGCTAATGGGAGGCCATCTATACTAATAAAAGGGCAATATGCTAATTAGACCGGATGTCTTCCGGACGCCCTTCTAGACAAAGCCACAGTGGCTACGAGGGCTGAGGCCCTGTGGTGTGGGAGAGGCAGCAGCATGGGAGAGGTGACAGCGCAGGCCAGTCCAGTGCTGCAGCCCCTTCCGCAGAGGCAGCAGGAGAGGGGGCTGCATAGTCCCAGTCCCAGTGCTTCCCCTTCCACAGAGGCAGCCACAAAGACAATGGAATGGGCCTGGTTCCGGCTCCATGCCTCCACAGAGGCTGGACTGGGTGCGACCTGCTGTGCCTCAACCTCCCACAGCCGGCCTGGCCCCAGATCGCCCCCAGCCCACCAGTCAGTGGGGGGCGGGGCCAGCACTAAGAAGCGAGGGTCAAGGGCTGGCAGCCGCAGCGGCTAGCAGTGGCAGCAGCAGCAGGGTGATGGAGGCGACACCTTCCCCTGATTGACCCTGTCGCCTCCTGCAGAGGGAGGCCAGACTGCGGCTTAGGTGGGCGAGGGCCTAAGCAGTCAATAGGCCATCCCCTGAGGGTCCCGGACTGTTAGAGGGGGCAGGCCAAGCTGAGAACCCCCCCCGCCCCAGTGCATGAATTTTCATGCACCAGGCCTCTAATATATTATAAGCATGTTCATCTGGGCAGCTTCACCAGGGAGCTGCAACTTTATACTCCCAGGGAGCCACCCGTCCATTCCCTACAGATCACTGGGGAAAGGGGTAAAACAAAGGGGAAGATGGGGTAACAGAGGGAAGGCGCTTGCCTGTCAGTCTAGCCTGGGGAACCATGGGTTGGCTATAGGGGTGGAGTCACTGCAAGTGCATGAAATCCTAAAGGATTCATTGGGTAAACTCCTAGTTAAACTTTCTTTCTCTTGTTACACTTACTGCACTCCTGCTTCCTTGTACTCACTTGGGCTGTGATCCACACTAGCCTGCCATGTGGCCCTAGAAGCCACATAGCCCAAGGCCATGAAGACTCCATACACAATGGACTGCAGCTGGGAACACAAGCTAAGCTAGCCAGATGCTGGACTGGACTGTGCTTTAATATGGAGCAAAGACTGGGAAGTAGCTTTAATTCTAGCTCTGTTGGAGACAGATGGGACTTTTTCCATGGCCAGATGGAGGGAGATGGGTCCTTGGAGGGAACTACCTTAACGTTACATTAACAATAAAGCTTTCCATGGTACATCATCTTCCAGTGGGGGCCTCAGGACATTCTTATTCCCATGGCACCCAAGAGCTCCACTTCCACCAGTAAGAGATGGGGACACAAAAGAC